AAGTGTATGATGTCCAACACACTAATTGACGTCATATACTATTTAGATGCTGACTATGATTTCCTGCTACTTAGTTGACTACCTACTTCTGCCTGGATTTGGCAATATTTAAGCAGTTTCAACTAATGTTTATTGTACCGACAGTTCTTTATCGTAGAAGACACCAATAACTCCACGTGGCACAAGACCCGGCTCCCCATGCCCGAAGCCATGTACTCTCTGGGCACTGCTAAAAATGTTGAATACGCCACGACCAAGTACCGATACACGTACAGCTCCCTGACGACCCCCCTGCAAACGGTGGAGTATGACTTTATATCGAACACGACGGCGATTTTGAAGGAAACGCCGGTGCCGCACTACGATCGGTAACGAGAAAACACCTACGGAACAGACCTAACATGTGTTTAGATCATTGTACCATTGCGAACGGGTCGAGGCTACGGCAAGCGACGGCACGGCCATTCCCATGAGTGTGATCTACCGAAAGGATAAGAAGAAAGCGGAGGGCCAACCACAAGCGCTGCATTTGTATGGGTATGGGTCGTATGAATGGCCGACAGGTGCGTGGTTTTGGATTCTGTATCGAAGAATGTATGTGAAGGTGGACATGTAAACGACGGAATATTTAGAACCAAACTTCCAAGCCACGATTTTGCCCTTGTTGGACCGCGGCGTCGTGTATGTGATCGCGCATATCCGTGGCGGCGGTGAAAACGGACGCACGTGGTAACAACAGTCCATATCGCTTATGAAAAATGTCTTACGGATTACAATGGTCTTATACGAAATGGCTTACGGATTACAATGATCTCTTAGGTATGAAGCGGCCAAGTATCTGACCAAGATGACAACATTTACCGACTTTATTGCGTGCGCCGAGCACTTGGTGGCCACCAAGGTGACGTCCCCCAGCCACATGACGTGCGAAGGCGGCAGCGCTGGCGGGTTGCTTGTGGGGGCAGTGTTGAATATGCGCCCGGACTTGTTTACGGCGGTACGTTGTCGTTTTGCCACGTCATATCTTGGCTAATGTATGTCTCTTACGAGTAGGTGGTGGCAGGAGTGCCGTTTGTGGACGTGATGAACAGCATGAGCGACGCCACGATTCCGCTCACTACGATCGAGTGGGCCGAGTGGGGCAACCCGAACGAACTCGATTACTTCGCGTACATGTTGCAATATTCACCGTATGTTTTATCTTAAAACGTCATATTTACGTGGAACGGAATTGTACCGTACGATATAACTTCGAACGGATATGTAGCTACGACAATGTGAAGGCCCAAGCGTACCCCAACTTGCTCGTGACCGGTGGCCTCTTCGATCCCCGCGTGGCCTACTGGGAACCCACGAAATGGGTAAGTTAACTGTCTGTTACGAGTAAATTGGAGGTGGCATTTTGTCCGCTTTGGATTTATTATTTACGAGGTTTTCATTTATGTCGTGTGCAGGTGGCGAAGTTGCGTGACTTGAAGACCGACAACAACCAGGTTCTGCTCAAGATGAATCTGGACGCTGGGCACTTCAGTGCGAGCGATCGATACCATGTCCTCAAGGAGAAGGCGGTGCGCCTTAGCTTCGTCTTGGACCAGCTCAAGTGCTTGGAAAAGTAGTAACCCAAGTACAGTCCACTTTACAACAATTTAGCAAGTCTATTCCATTCGCGTGTGTGTGTGTGAGTTAAGGGGGATGCCTGGGTTGGCTATGGATCTTTCGGATGCGAAGGTGTTGATGGTTTCGGGGTTTCATGCAAGATTATCTTGACCTTGATTCTATCTTGATTAAATTATGTGAAAGGCTGGTACAGCATACTAGGGTGAATCCTACCAGTATTAGGGTCCCTTCCAAGTACTTCCCCAATCACAACTTTAGCATGATTACTACCGTATACTCCCGCTTCTGTACCTATGAAAATGTCAGTGAAATCTGATCAAAACTGGTACAGCTCCAAGCCGTACCTTGAAAACTATTCAGGCATGAGCATTATCCTAAATCCAAAACAGGACTTATTTTTGATTGGATTAAGTCCTTTAACGCATGGTGATTGGGTATTTCTGTCCAATAAGAGACAACTAGGTACACGCCCAACCAAGGAACCATAATAATGTTCGTCATTGACCAATATGTTCCAAACCGTTACAGGTCCAACCGGAGAAATCATAGGTACTGAAGCGGGGGGTATACGGTAGTACGTATGATACTACGTACCGTACTTTACGACTCAATGTTGAGTGTGGTACTCACGTTGCGCATCGCCAGTTTCTGTTCCGACGTCTTTAACTTTGATTGGCAATTCGAATGCGTTGTCCGGAGTATGTGTTTTCGCGATTTGTATGCGTTTTGAATCGAGTAAAACCGAATCGGACGAAATGGGGCCTGGATGTGAGAATCCCGGTATTGCAAGATGACATGCTTCTGCTCGTATGTGTACCTCGAGTATTTGTATTTTTTGGCCTTGCGCCGCGTGGGTCGAGGCATGTCGTCAAATTTTCTGTGATTGGGTGGTGGTGTTTCAGATTTCAAAACCCTTGAGTCGTATGAGTCGTCAAATACGGGTAGTATTTATCGTGCTTTACATTAAAAAAAGGAACTTCGAAGTGTTTCAAGTTGGATGTTAAAGAATTCATGTTGATTTGAAAATCGTCGAGTTTCGAACGTGTTCATTTCACATTGACTTGAACAGAAAATGGTGAAGACTTCAAAATCAATCGTTCATTTGGATGGTTATCAGCTACTGGTACTACAGTAACACAACAGAGAAAACATAGTATCCTCATAACTCTTTTTGACGAACACTGCCAACAGGATCCGCCTAGGCGGCCACTAATTCGCTGAGATTTCATTTCTCGAAGTGCTTCTGGTAGTACGGACTGGAAATGCCGGTGTGGTGCACGGCGTACACAGTAGGCGGGTGGGTACACCAACCTCACCGCGACCACCTCTGCTATGTTGCGTTAGATGCTACCAACCCACTGACACCTCCGCATTGTTTGAGATCATGATTCGAAACACGTGCGTGCAGCTTTGGTTAGCTGTATTACATTACCTTGTCCTTGTTACTGTCTCCCTTTGTGTAGCCATGGCACGACCTTTGTGTCATAGGATTGTCGACCAGGCATACGGATGGTCGTACCGTTAACAGATCAAGGGTGTTGTGAAGATAGTTAACCTGAAGTAGTTTTGTACAGTATACATTTTTGTAGCTAGTACTTTTAAGTCGACAATCTAATCATTTTCCAATTTACTCTCGAAGCTCGCTACGGCTACACTTGGTAGCACTTCCTGGTTCAGTCAGGCAGTCAAGGACTTACTAAGGAAGACTTAGTTGATTACCCAGCGAGCCTGTACTTCAACTTTTTCCAATCGAAATCATTTTGGGAGTGTTTCGAGGATGATCCAACAACTGCTGGAGGCTCCAAACACAAGCTCAAGTGTTAGCCAATCAACAAGCGCAACCGGAGAATCAACTGAAGGCGCACAGGACATGCAAGCAGGGCTACTTTTACACGTGTCTAGTAACGGCGATCAGGGCGGCAGCCAATCACTTGACACTGAAAGGCGTATCGAGACACTCTCAATACCAGCGTACTATGGGCACTTGAACGAGCATCGTGTTGTACATCCACCAAGAAGAACCTGAAGTACGAATCCGACGAAGCACGCTGTCTAGAGATGGTTGTGGCAAACCTTTAAGGACAGGCGGCTGCGTGGTATCAAGAGCTAGCTTCGCAAGGCAATGGGTTCACACTGGGGGAGTTCGTACACGGTTTGCGTGAAGAGTTTGAACCGAGTGATCTGCAAGAGCGGCTACGTGACAGTCTGTTTGCGTTGCAGCAGAAGGGGTGCAAGGACTTAGTCGAGTACATCGAGAAATTCCGTCTCATTTGCACGGATGTGCATGAAATGTCATAGCTGGACAAGGTGACGTTCATCATTCGAGGGTTAAAATTGAAGACCCGCGAGGAAGTAAAGTACTGTCAAAGCAAGACCTTGTCTGAAGCGATCAGGGCGGCGTTGGAGTATGAACGTGCGCATTCTCTTTTACTCTCGTCGATGAAGCCTCCCGACACGCCGAACCGATGGAATCGGACGGACTATGGAAGCGGCCAGCGCGAAGGACATGTACCGCATTTGGAGTCGCAAGTGTCCACAGACATGGAAGTGGACAATGGCAAGATGCAAGGTAGTCGGAGGAAGGACAGCAGCAAGATTCGCTGTTACAACTGTCAGAAGTTGGGGCATATCGCGACTGAAATCGGAAGCCCAAGAAGAAGAAGATATCAAGGCAGGCACCGCCCAGTCACCAGAACTACCTCGAAGTCCAGGAGCAAGTGTCGAACGACGTTGTTGAGTGCATCTCGTTTGGAGTCGTCAAGGAAGTGAACGACGACAAGGGGACTTTGGGAACGGTTGTTCAAGTGGAACCCGAAGCTGGAATGAAGTCACCAGCGTTGATGATTAAGTCGGGTGTAATGAATGGCAAATATGTGAAAGTGTTGTTGGATTCTGGAGCGACGAATTCACTTTGTCGAGTTGCGTCATTCGCAACAAGTCAGTGGCATTGCAGCGTATGACAACGTGTGGTCACCTATGATTAATACGCGAGAAGTCATGGAGACGATGATGGTCGACTAGTTCGCCTTCAAGAACGCACTAATGACGGAGTGGGACTTGAAGGACAAGGACTTTGACGTTATCCTGGGTGTACATCGGTTCGCGAAGTAAAATCCTGTAATGGATTGGCGCAAGCGAGAAATCACTTCGAGTCGAGGAAGAAGTAGAAGCCAATGCGATGTCGATGTCGATGGAGTTGACTGGATTGATGGTCAAGGTTTATGAAGTCCAAACACAAACACAGCTACGAACAGCGGAGATGAGACTCTTCTCGATGGTTCAAGGATGTACTATCACCGGAACGAGCGGTTTAGTTTGACGTCTCGATGAAGCCAGATGCGAAGCCACAACATCGTGCACCATTTCGACTAGCAAAAGTGGTGCAAGAGTCGTTGGACAAGTTTGTCAACAAAGCTCAAATCCTAAGGATGGGTTGAGTTGTGAACGAGCGATTTGGTGTCGAACACCTTTGGAGTGCCAAAAAGGAAGAGAGCGGTAAAATGTCATCTCGTCACGTGTGGTTGAAGACATCAACCGCGAACACTCCAATTCGATGGGTGCTCGACTACCGGCATGTCAACTCCCAGTCCAAAATCGCCAAGATACCTCTACCCAACATTGAGGTCATCTTCAATAAGATACATGGATGCAAGATATTCTCAGATCTTCCATCGGGGTACGATCAAATGCTTGTGCTCCCACCAGCTCGCAAGTACACGACATTTCGAACGCACAGATAAGATAAGATAACTCTTGCAATGGTGCGTTGCACGGATGGGCATGACTGGTATGCCGGGCATATAGTCGCGACTGATGCGGTCGTTATTCGACAAGTTTCCATTTGTTGTCGTTTACCTCGACGAAATATGTGTCTACTCGAAGACCATGGACGGACACGTCGAACACGTGCGGATTGTCCTGGAAGTCTTGCTCACAGAGAAGCTGTATGCGCGACTCGGCAAGTGTGTGTTTGCAGTGGATAAAGTGAACTTCCTGGGGCACACCATCTCCGGTGACGAGCTGCAAGTCGACGCGAACAAGGTTCGAGCAATCGAAGAATGGTCAGCGCCTACGAATCGCAAGGAGCTCATAAGTTTCCTTGGTATGGTGGGGTGCTACCTCAAGTTCATTGCGAACTACGCCAAGTTGATACTGCCGATCAGTGAGCTTGCGAAGGACAAGGTTCCATGGGAATGGACGGATCAACACAACAAGGCGTTTTAGGTCATTAAGGCCGCGTTCGAAAAAGCACCAGTGTTGAAATTACCGGACTTTGACCAGCCATTTATGATCACGACGGACACCTCGGGCTATTGTTGTGGGTCGGTATTATCGCAACTGGATGCGAACGGAGAAGACCGATCAGTTAGTTACATTCCTATCGAAGAAGCTGGGCGACACCGAGTGCAATTGGCCATCGCATGAGAAGGAGTTTTATGCGATCAAGTTGGCACTAACCAAGTGGAGACACTACGTCTATGGGTCACACTTTCATGTCTTCACGGACAACGCAACTTGCCAGTGGTTTTTGAAGACTCCAGTCTTAACAGCTAAGTTAACACGCTGGTTGGATTTCTTCAGCAGTTTTGACTTTACGTTGCACCATCGTCCTGGCATGACGAATGTGTTGCGGATGCATTGTCACGTCCACCGTGCAGAATCGTGCAAGCCAGTACGTACACTGTGGACGAACGTGATGCAACGTGCTACGAACACTTCGTCCTGTGAATTGATGGAACGATCGAGTGCATGACATCAAGTGTTTGAACACTCGCACGTTGAAACTTACGACGGGCTTGACTTCTCAGGGGGAGGAGGTCGATGCGTCGAATACGTCTAATTTCGAAGTCGAAGTTCCGCACCAACTCGTCGTCAATCACACGGAGGAGTTTTCGTACTCGTCAATCAAGATGGGCGATAACTTGAAGCAACACTTTATGCAAGCATACGCCAAGACGAAGGAGTTCGAGAAGAAAGATGGACTCTTCTTCGTGAAGTCGAAGGACCAAGTGTGGAGCGGTCTTGAAGAAGACGTGAAGCTCTATGTATCGACGTATGAGACTTGTGCATGATACAAGACAAGCAGCGTCTAGGCGAATGGGAGAATGATTCCGATTGAATCGCCTTAGGAATGTTGGCACACGGTATCGATGGACTGGATCACAGGTTTGCCGGTCTCGAACAGAAAGGATGCAATAATGACACGTGTTCACAAAACGTCAAAGCGTCTGTGCAACAACATCGAACATCGATGCTCTCCAAGCAGCGAAAGAGTTCTTCGATGCAGTCGTGCGACACCACAGTATGCCAGCAGTAATCATCAGCGACCGAGACTTCAAGTTCTTGAGTGAATTTTGGCAAGCGTTGATGAAGTTCATGGGCGTTAAGCATTGCATGACCACAACAGGTCGATCGCAAAGCGATGGAGCTACCGAACGGCAAAATCGTACCATCGAAGATGCCATGAGACGTCAAGTCTCATACTTAGGCCACAATTGGGAAAAACATCTCGGCACCATTCAGTATACACACCAAAGCCTCGTTCAAGCGTCAACGGGGCTAATACCGTTTGAAGCGGATACGGGAAGAAAGCTACGCAACCCATGCTCAACGAGATCGAAACATTTAACGAGTATGCGAAGAATTTTGCAGAACATCGCAAAGAACTCGTGCGTACGACACTCGACAACCTGGAGAAGGCTCAAACTCGACAGAAGAACTACATGGAACGACGCTGAATAGTGCCGCTCAGAAAAATATCGAATTAGCCAATCAAATCGAGTAAATTCGGATAAGTGACAGTGATTGGTAGAAACATTTCGCGGCAATGTATTGAAATTCAAATCATGCCAAACTCCATGATTTGATCACCTCGAAACTTCAGTTCATATGGAAAGGCTGCTGACTGCACTAGCGCCGCGCAGCACACAATATCGCACACGTCCCACGTTGGAACATAATATAATGTTACAAGTCGTACGCTTAGCCGAGCAAACGAGTAATAGTACTGCATACGCAGCCACGGCGACCAGGTACACCGAACGCAGCGTCCGCCTGTGCGTACAGATAGATCCAAGGAAAGCTGGCAAGCTTAAAAGGGTCTAAAACTCGCAAGAAGAACACCGGCACCTGCGGCGGACGATAAGTTAGATCATTCCCGACAGTCATGACTTCGTAACGTACCTGAAGGACATTGCACGGCTATTTGTCATCTGTTCAGGAGAGAAATTGGGAGGAAGTCCTATGGCGTTGGTACCATCGACCACCCAATCCGTATTTTTATACTATATTGATTTTACTATGTAATTAAATTAATATTGCCTTGTCTGCCACATTTTTTGACGCATAGGTATTCACTGCATTAATGTGTATTCTGTGTGAATTGTATCTTGAGAGACAAGACTTGATGCTCCAGATTATTGTTTAAACAAATACCCTGTAAAAGTGAATATTCTATTTCAATAGTGAATATTCTATTTCAATACTTCCACCGTCTGTCTATTCAATTATGGGTGACATCGATCGTCATCGTCATTGGCCAATCGATCATCCAATCAAGGCGCGACCTTGCGGCACTATTCAGCGTCGTTTCCTGTATTACGACAAGAAGCGATCGTTGGTCGAGTTCAAGGAAGGCGATTACGTCATGTTGGCGACGCGGAACATTCCATTGAAGCACGCGCAAGTGGGGAATAAGAACGAGAAAAACAAGCTCGTGCCACGATTCATTGGAGCGTTCAAGATACTGGGAGCAGTGAACGCCAATGTTATGCAGTTGACATTGCCACGAAGCATGGGCAGGCTGCACGAAGTCTTCAATGTGAATTGCTTAAAGCACTATGCCGAAAACACAGAGCGTTTTCAACTAAGATCAATACCCAAAGAATCTTCTGTCACTCTCGACGACGCAGGGAATGAGTTGCATATCGTCGAAGCTTTGTTAAAGCAACGACAGTTCAATGCGAAGAACGAGTACTTGGTCAAGATCATTGATTGAAGACCTGCGTTCCAGGATCAAAGCTGCCAAGTCGACAACCGGGGGAGAAAGTAGTGATGTCACGACCTTTGGGTCGTAGGATTGTCGACCAGGCATACGGATTGTCGTACCGTTAACGGAAAAAATCTGCTGATCAGATCAAGATGGGTGTGACTTTTTTAGTGGTTGTTATTCTGTTATTTATGATCGAATCGCTCTATTTAAATAACAGGGGGATCAGAGCGAACGCCAACTTTCGGCAGCCAATCGAAATTCGCACTTTAGCCCAGGGGTCGCCATGATAGGCCAAATTTCCTCTAATGTACACTATAAAGCACAGGGTAGTATCATTTTGTAGTTAGTAGTTTAAGACGACAATCGAATCACTTTTCAATTTACGCTCGAAGCTCGCTACCCCTACACTTTGTGTCTAATCCGACCGTCCGCTGCTTCGACAACTTGGAATCTCTCGTACTGCGTTCATGAAGTACATACACGAACTTATTCTCACGTCGAGAAGAAGGTGGCTCTCTTCTACCTGACAAGTCTAATGCCCTTGAGTTCGATGGGTGGACGTGTAGTTCATTCAACCCATTACCTTGCTCTTGTTTGCATCCTTCCCGTCCAACGATGCTATTGTATACTCCGGATTACTAATATCTTTTACACCAATCAATGACCAAGACGCTCTAAGTGCGGCTGTCCACGTGGAGTTTACTGAGTTTGTCCTGGATTTGTATAGAAAAGTCCTGGAGCAATGTCATCGCACTTATCATAGATAACCGCTCCCCAAATATGGCTTTCATTGGATTCGCCAGTAACCGGTTCCATCTCTTTGTGTCTGACCAGCTTGTCAACCATACGACTGTTATCGACAAAGTCAACCGTACCATGACCAAGGTACGTTTTACCCTACCAATCGCTCGTCTGCGTCGTTTGATCCCCCTACGTGCTATTACTCTAAGTGCGGAACGCTGGAGGTCGACGTTAAACATGCTGAAACGGTACTTTGAGCTCAATCTATTCCTATCAGCTACTAGTATTGGTGACGACAGTATTCGTAACGGTGCGCACAGAGGAAGGTGTGTAGAATAAGGTATATTGTTAACTGAGAGAACTAGCTATCTCTGAGCTGGTTTCCTTGGCGCGCTGCTGCGCGCCAGTCATGCAATTCATGTCAAATGAATGGTGCTGCTGCGGAGGTCGCAGAGCCAGTGATTCAAGACACTTGGATTGCCAAGTGTCCTCTCGGGTCAGGATTTGAACTGGCCAATGGGATATCGTGTCCGGATTTTATCCGGACCCTGTTACATCCTCCCACACTCAAACTTGATTTCGGTATACATAGCCGAACGTGGGACAGGGATTGAGAATTCGGAACAATCGTTGGAGAATTCGGAACGACCGTTGTCGTCAGTGGTCATTGTGACAAAGCCACGAAAGCGAAGGATGAGCACCTTCGGAGCGTCGAACTGGGGCACCGCTGACGGCGGCCATGGTGGCGGAGCCCGGAACAGATGGGGACGTAGCCACGAACGTGCCACGAGCATGTTCTCCGTCGCGGAAGCGACGATGCGACGATGCGACGATGACCGAGGGCGACCATACCGGCGAAGCATGCCGGATTTCGAGGTGACCTCGGTAATTGCGGACGATGTTTTTGTCGATTTGGATTGGTCTCTCCCAGATATGGGAGATGCGGACTACCCGATGGACCGGGTTTCCGGAACGCGAGCTTTGGCTCGAAGCGCGGAAGAGTATGCTCTCATGGAGGAGTGTCGGGCTCCACGAAGCGAGTTGCTGCGGACCAGAAGTTCCTTCTGCAGAGCGCACGTATGTATAGCATTAGATATAGTATAGTCAGAGTAGTCATGCATGTAGATGTAGATAACGCCAATCAATCAGTTTTACAATTTCCTCTGCGTTATCAACTCCCTACAGTTGGTAGCACTGGTTGACAACAAGGACTTACTTCCAGGGGCATAGCTCGTAGGTTGTAAGGTTACTCTATCTAGCTCAGGCGAAGGTTCAGTTGCGACCTTTCACGGCGGCTAGTGTTGAGTTAGTGATC